CCCCAAAACCCCAAAACCCCAAAACCCCATTATAAGCGAGGGAAGTTGGATTAGGCAGATTATTAATTATTTAGGAAGTTTGTTGATTGTAATGCAGGGCTTTGCTTCTTGGGGGATGAGTGGCTTTGGGCTTTGGGGCAGTGAGAGGTCGGGGAGAGAAAGTTTACCTTAGGGATGGAGGGGAAGGGGGGTTGGGGAGGTTGTGGGGTGTGTTTGATGAGTGGTGGGGAAATTGATGTGCTTATACAGATGTAGGGTATAAAAGGAGATGGAGAGACGAGATAGTGTCAAGAAATGGAAACAAGAGGAAGTCAAAGGTATATCTAAGGGACCTATAAAGGTCAAGATAAAGACTGACTGTCTTGAGAATAGAAAAGAAGGGTCGACAAAGCCTGAGGAAGACAAAGAAGGTATGATTCATAGATACAACAAATAAGACATTTATAGGAGAGAGATGTCCTATCTGAATTACTGATTTTAGTCATAATGATTCTCAAATTATTGCTCTGCTGAAGAGCTTAGTAAATAAGAAAAATCTTGAATTAATACCAGTATCTCTCCGAGGAAAAGGACTAACTGATAATGTTGGAGAACCTGCCATCTTTTATGTTGAAAACTCGGATGCAGGCAAAAGTAGCATAACTGAATCTCCACAAGTGGCTTTGCCATCTATGCAACCAGAATATAATGTTAGAGTTGTGAAACAGAGTGATTTTGGAAACAAAATGCAAAGTTTATTGAGCGAGTTTAGTATAAATGGTGTCTGAATCCTCAAGGCCTGAAGCCACATTTACCATAAATGCTGTATCAGAGATTGGATGAGATGCCATAATACTTGCCCATTATGAAAAAGTAAGTCTGATATGTTTATTGATGGTCATGATTGTCGAATCAGCTTTATTTGTTGCCCAAAAGATTATTAGGATACACCTTCTTAGTTTATCGAAAGAAACGAGTTAAATTATTATCAGTGCTGGGCTTGCTTTTGTATAGATAGTATTTTATTATTTTCAACATAATTTTTTTTAAGAACTGTAGAAAACTCCTATTGCTAAACCTTCTTTGAGCAGGCTTGAGGCTTCTAAATGATCATTAAGCGATAGATTCGAAGGACTTGTCATTTTGCTAAATGTTTAATGTTTCACTTCTGATAATCATTGAGATAAATTTTATACCTTCTATGTAGTCTACTTCTTCCTAAAATAAAGTAAAAACAACTCTATAGGAATTGTCTATAAGGAGCTTTCTCTATCCTATCTCTCCTCAGATAGTGATTTCAGTTCGACATCTAGCATCACGGAGCCATATAATTCTTTCCCTTCATATCCTTTCATACCAGAGGATTTAGTACTACGTTCTCCCGCAGCAGGTCCACAAGGAATAATGAATCATCTTGAGTCTTCTGTATATGAGATATGTCTTTCTCATGAAGAAGAATTATACGAAGTAAATTTTTCTGAAGAACAATTTTACAATGAAAGTTTTATTGAAGAAGAACCAGTTGAAGAAGAATCATCCGAGATAGAATCAGTTGAAGAAGTATTAATCGAAGAAATATTAACCGAAGAGAACATTAGTTTAGAACTAGTTGAACATAATTTTGTTTTTGATACCAAATCCCCTGGTATTCCTCTGGAGGGAAACCAATTCTTGAACGTGTCCCAAGGGAATATACCTGAGAAGATGTTGCTAGATGATGAATTTTCGGTGGATCCTGCATCAGATCCTGGGCATACTGACTAGAATCTCAAGTTGATTTATGATCAAAGCTTGACTCAATAATTATTCTCTATTCAGGGGTTTTGGGGTTTTGGGGTTTTGGGG